GTGGAATGAAGGCCGATGAAATAAATTTTTCGTGATAGCGCACTTCAACTGTCAACGACTCTCCGTTTTGTGCTTCATTCATGTTCACGGCATGGAGGCGGATGCGCTATCGGCTTGCTTCGGGGACGTTCCAGGCAATCCCATATGTTTCCAACCATTTCCGGCAAGTGTAAACTCTGTCGTGTCATGTGATCTAAGGGGCCTTGCTGGCTAGGATGCCCCAAGGCCGAGTGTTACTGCAAATCATTCTCCCAGTGTTCGCAGGAAGCTGATTCGCCAAGCCATTCAGCATCGTCACTGTTGGGAAAGATTTTATACTCGTTGGTGCAAGCCTCTCCGAATAAACAGCTGCGGCTGGCGGGCCATTCTCTGGGGTGGTAGCCCCAATGCACATCCTGCGAAGTTTTCGCGCTTGCACCCTGCAGTCGGATTGCTTCGTGGTTTGCACCTGATGTGATTCTCAACTCTACAAGGGCACCCTTGGTCATTGCTGGCGCCTCCAACATGTTTGCACGTCAAGGGATGCCATGTGGAGTCAGAAACTTGGAAACAAAAAGGCTACACTTCTGAAGCTCGTTCAAAAGGGATTGTGAAGACGCTGTCGCTGTCTCTCAGCCGTAAGGTTTGATTGGCTCACAGGTTCCACGTACGTGCGGGAGTCGGATCAACATGTACGAAGTGTTGGTCGGTGAGGGCTTGTTCCATGTTTTGGGTTTAGGCTTGGGGTTTGTTCAGGGCTTGGATGTTTGAGGGTCCAGACCTCCGGGTGTTCGAAGTTTCAGGGTTTCCGGCGTGAGGATTTCGGATTCAGTCGTTTAGAGTTGCAGGTGTTTGAGGTATCGTTCGCTTCAGAAGAGTTCTGCAAGGCCCCGAGTCTGGTTCGGAGTTTTCATAGGACCCGCGTACTCAAGAAGTATCCACTGTTGGCCACAACATAACTATGTTGATTCGTACCTTCTTGAGCACTTCGGTTCTCACATCGCTCAGGAATTGCGCTGCTCGATCCATACTGGTCGCGCAGGGTGCAGGTGTTGAACCCGCAGGACTACTTGGCTTCAGCAGAGGCAGGATCACAGAGCCGTTGCACAATTAGAAATCAACAACCAAGGCTGGACGGGGCAATCGCACTCTGCAGACTAGCACAGCTGAGGACTATCCGTGGCAAATGCACGACTGCCAGCCTGAGCCTCTCCCTGGCACTGATGTTGGCACGAAAAGAAGTGCTGTCTCGTGGCCAACAACTTCTTTGAACCTTCTAGGTCTAGATATCATCGAAGCCGTTAAGATGTTTCCGATTTTGCCTTGTGTCTCTGCCAGCTAGACCAAGGCTTATTCGGCTCTCCATTAGTAGACCTCACTACATGCGAACCGTGCAACCACAAACATGTTGGCAGGGTTGTTGCCTCCGCCAGTCTTCCGAATGTGCCCAGAGCGCAGACATCAGGTGTGAATCTTCGCGGAGTCCTTGAATGCTTCCGCAGTCTTCCGGTGCTTGTAGACTAATGTGATACGGCCTATCAAATGTCCAGGTTTGAGATCTACTACTCGTGCCCGACCATGACCCAGATGCCGATAGTGGCCGACAACAGCACGGCAGAAGAGCTGGTGCGGCGGGAGTTGGCTGCGCTGGTGCAGTACGACGCGTCCTGTTGCGATCCTTGGGACTTGGAGGCAGTGCACAGAGGGTTTAATTGAGTTCGGGAAGCCGAGGAGAGTCTTTCCAAGCCCTGAGGCCCAGCACCTGCTTGCTCCGAATCTTTATCTTTACAGTATGCTACATCCTCCACCAGGTGGGGTCACTGTCCTTGAACAGGAGCATCTTCGCTTTCTCGTAGAAAGATCGAGTATTCCCAGGCTGTGGTGCACCTTCCGCAAGTGCATCAAATGAAATCTTGGCAATTGCAAGAGGCCAGCGCTGGCAAAGACCAGGATTGGCTTTGACGTAAGAGAAGATGGAAACAGTTTCAGGGGTCTTGGGTTCATCACAGGGCAAGCATGAATGATGCTTGGGTCGACACAGATCGAGAATTTTTGTGTCGTGGGAGCCTTGCGATGCCGTTGGTTCCAAGATGTCAGCAGCAGCTGCTAAGGAACATCAAAGGCACAAGGCAGAATCGTTTCTCAAAGAAGGAATTGCTCACACGCGCGTACCCAGGCACATACAATCACCCATCTGCGGGATGCCGAAAGGCAAGCGATGGTACAAACAGTCGTTCTTCATCTGGCTCCTAGGGGTCTTGCCAACATGGCAGCCAGAGACCGTGGAGACCATAGTGACCTCAGCATCCCCTCTTCGAGTGTCTGCCCCGAGTCAACAGGGCTCGCGTTCAGCGCTGCAAATTCGTGTCGGGCCTTCGGTACTGGCAGGAGATCTTTCAAAGCTGGCATTTGAGACCCGTCGGGTGATCCGGGCAGGCGCAGATTACGTTCATCTGGACATGTTCGATGGAAACTGGGTTCAGGGGGCCTTCACTTTTGGCCCCATGGTTGTGAAGGCTCTTCGGGATCACGAGCCGAGGGCGTATTTCGACGTTCACTTGTGCGTGATGAAGCCGGAAGGGTACCTCGAAGAATTAAAACAAATGGGGGTCAGCCGAGTGACGTTGCATGTCGAAGCCACTGGGGACCCCACAGCAGCTGCCAATCGTGCACACGGCCTCGGCCTTGACGTAGGCTTAGCCTTGGCTCCCGAGACGCAAGTCGATGAGAAGCTCCTTTCCATTGCGGAGCTCTTTGATGTGGTTCTGGTAATGACGGTTCCACCAGGCTTCGGTGGCCAATCCTTCATGCCGGAGATGCTGCCGAAGCTGCGGCAACTGCGCGAAGCTTTCCCGACCAAGGCCTTGGAGGTAGACGGAGGCGTGACGCCGACGACGGCCGCGCTGGCCGCGGCTGAGGGCGCTAATGAGGCGGTGGCGGGGTCTTCAGTGTTCCACTCGAGGAACCTGCGCCGAGCAATTAGGCCCGTCGAAGAAATGTCGTAAGTCTGGAATCTGGGTTGGGTTTGAGTTGAACACTTCCCTGATTCTCTGTTCCCTGGAGGGAGCTTCGGCATGGCTTGGAGCAAGGGCAGCAGACTTGGCAGCAGAGCTGATTGGTGCTGAAAAGATGCAAGTCCTCGCTTGGGCCAGAGGGGTCACGAAAGCTGACATGGCTGGAACTTTTGCCGTTGTTCCCGTTGCCGTTTTGTGCTGTTAGACAAACCAGCTTGTGCCCACATGCGAAGCTGAAGACTTAGTTGGCTTTTTTTTTGCCCTGGCCAGAACTGTTCTCAGGTTGACAGACCGACAAACCGAAGCTCTAATGTAGATTCGGTTCTTGAAAAAAAAGCAGGGTCTAGGGGTTAGACAATCGGGCTTCCTGTTTCGTAGAACTCCCTCGTCTCAGGCAAGACCGAATTGCGAATGTGGTTACGGGAGTAGGATGTGCAGAAGACTCCTAGCTGCTATGTGATCGCATGGAGCAGGCGGAGGCTGGCTCGTTTCTCTGCAGCTTTGCTTGCAACCTCGTAAGACATGATGAGAAGGTCTGCGCATATAATGAAAAGTTGGGTCCTGCTGCTGCCGCCACTGGCCCGGACCCTTTTTGCGCTTCGCGATATTGCAAGATACATGCAGCCATACACCAGGCTCTTGCCTGCAGGTGGAGGGAAATCTGATAGGCCGTCGTCAGGTAATCATGAGCTGACTTGAGGTCGAGGCGGCTTACTTTCCAGTTGCGTCGGGAGCTCCTGACTGCACGTCAGTCAGAAAGATAGGCTGTCCAGAGTATTTCTCAGGTACAATGCAGAAGAGACATGGCAGCGACCCCTGATGCAGCCCGGGACCCTGTGAAGGTTGCAAGTCATTTCGAGGATAAGCCGTCAGGCTTGTGTTTCCAACATGAAGCTTTCCTATGCTGTTAAATGACTGTTGGTTGCTGTCTGTACCCGTGGAGACTGGCAGTAGTCTTGCAACAATTTCAGTCCTGTGTTCTTTGATCTACTGGCACCACAATCGCAGCCCGGAGCGAGCTTCTCTTTCCAAGGCCATGGGACCCTCTTCGAGCACTGAGGCAGCGAGAGTGTTCAAGCGTAATAACCTTCTGGCCATACGCACTTGTTTTTTTCAGGGGGAGCATCATGGTGACCTGGACACCTGGTGCCAGCCTCCCAGCTCTCTGCCGAAACTTGTGCATCGTTCTTCCCAGCCTCTGTGCCAGTGGAACCCCTGGTGCTCCGTCGACCGCTATGAGCTGCAGGCTGTCCCCCGCTGCCTCTCCTTGCAGAAACCGCTAGCTTTAGCTGCAGGCTCGTCGGCCCAGGGGGCCGCCAATGCGCTTTGCAGATCTGGAGTCTCTGAGGCTGGGGAGTCGGGAGTGGCAGTGCAGCTGGGGCTTCGGAGCTTTGGGAGCGCAGGTACAGGGAAGCGGACGTCGATGCCCAGGAGGCAAATCACCGCACTTTGCACGTTTCGACAGCGGATGGAGTCATTCCCAAAAACTTCAGAAGAGCAAGCAGTCGGTATGAGCAGATCAGACTCAGGAGGAGACTTGGCCTGGTGATGGTGAGTGGGACACCTGGGAAACGAAGTACGTGGGAGTAGGCCGCCTCAGCGTGTCTTGGCACTGCTGTGCTGGCCTCCAAAGGGCAACTCCTCACTGTCTTGACTTCACTGCCAGGTCGTGCATACACTCTCCAAGTTGAGGCTGAAACAGCGCATGCTGCGCGGGACTTGCAAACGCAATAAGTCACAGTATCGGGCAGTTGCGTCCGTCATCGTTATGCTTGGCTTCCTGACAATTCCTACGACAGCAAGGCTCAGTTCCGAGTTCGCGCCTGTGGCAGACCGGAGAGCCTCCGCCCTATTTTGTGTTTCAGACTGGATCAGAATCAAGTCACTCCTGTGAAACCCCCGTGCCGCACAGTCCTGTTTGAGGCTTGGCTGGTCCTGGGCCAGTCAGTGTCGGCTGCAGTTCCTGGAGCCCTATCCAGACAGCGTGCCTCCTCGGTCCCATTTAAGCCTTTAAGCATCCTGCATGTGATGCATGGGTCTGCCATGCCCATGTTCTAGCTCTTGACCAGCTGGCAGCCAACCCGGACAGTCGTGTCAGGCACACCCTCGTCAGCGCTGCACAGGACAAGGTAAACCTGATGGTGAGGGGCATGGGTATGCCCCGCACTCAGATTGACGACGCAACCGCACTGCCGCGTGCAGTCCACGTGGGCTCTGACTCCAAGGAATGCACCAGACTATGCGCATATAGAGGCGTGGCGACAGAGTTTATGCAACGTCCTCCACACGCTGTGACATAGTCTGGAAAAGGTCAACCGCCGGATAATCTATCGGCCACTGCCTCGGCAGGAGCATCGTGTGAAGATTCCTGCAAGTCTCATGTCCTCGTCGAGGCGGCGTGATGAGACAGGGCTCGTTCTGGCCGTTTTCCAGCGGTTGGACTTCTCATTGCAGTGGCTCAGGAGCCGTCTGGAGCTCTGGTTCGCCAGTAGCAGCAACTGTGAGCCCGCAGCAGAGGACTTATGACACACACCGGAATCGGACAGAGGCTCCGTAAGTGTCAAGTGTCGCTGAGACCGCCCTGCAACGCGATTTGCCAGTTGCACTTCCGATTCGCCTCTACTTTACTTTTTGTGGCAGCTCTTGCCTGAGAAGAGGCATTGCTGATGGCAGAGAAGATCCGGCAGTACAATGCCAGCTTCTTCGTGTGCGTCCAAGCGGGAGTCAGAGTCTGGTGCAGCCTCGGTGCGGTGAGACCTCATCGTGTTAAGTATTTGGGCTATGGATCGCAACTGCGGTCACAGGGACTTGAGTGTGTCTTCTGGGTGGTAGGCATTGATGGAGGGGTCCCCAGGGACTTGGAAAAGACCCCGCCAGTGCAGAGTGTCGCACGACGCAGTAGAACGGCCGGAGTCGGAGCATTTCTTTTGCGTGTCCTTAAGGTGGTCGTGGCATCCAGCATCGCCTGGGAATGGCAAGCACCGCGAACGCTCGCTTCAGAGATTCTGCCGCTGTGTTGGGCAATGCGATGCTGTGTGCTGTGAGGTTGGTTCAGACGATGGAGTTCTGCGGAGCTTACCACTTCGGGCTTGGGGCTCAGCAAGAGCAAGAATAAAGGCCGAGTTGTTTGGGACATTGTTGGGCGTGAGTAAAGCAAAGGCAGTGGGCGAACACGTTTGCAGAGCAGGCTTGTGGATGCTCCCTGCGACTGCACTTCAAAATTTCCTGGTCAAATCTTGACTTGAGCTCAAACAATCCTGACCGCCTGCATCACAGATCCGCTACCGCTCGAACACTTCAGACCTGCAGCAGACAGCGTTCCTCGGACTCCAAGATGTGCGTGAAGCCGTGAGACTGAAACAGCGCACCGTTGTATCTGTGAATGCTTTGCAAACGAAGCGAGGTCTCAGGAGCAGTTTGGACATCCATATGCATTCGTTCGTGTCTCAGACTTTTGGTCGCTTCGGATGTGCCAACCCACAACATGGCTGAGATTGGAATCCCGGGCATTGGCACTGCCATGGGCTGGGAGTCATCAGCTCAGATATGCCCGAGATGCCCCAGAATGGCTGGGCCCGGCACCGCTGCCGACACGCTGACGGTCGCTGGAGGTCCTTAATGTACAACACGGGGCACTACATGGCGAGGTCCGTGAAGCCTCAGCAGGAGGGGACCGGTTGTCGGTCAAGCAGCATGGTTCTTCTCAAGCGTCTGCGAGAATGAGTGCGAAGGCGATAATCAGAGGTGTCGCGTACTACGACTACGTTGTCACGCGCTCAGCCTGGAAAGCTGTCGGTGAGTACAAGCTCTTTACCAACCAGGCACGCCTTTATCGCCTACAGGACATCTCTGCAACGAAGGTGCTTTGAGCGTTTCAAGACGTGGCCGGTGTTCAGGGTCGTGGCAGGGCTTCGATCTGCCGAGGCGCTCTTCTTTCTGAAAGGCCAGGCACCACTCCCTGAGACCTTTCACAATCCGGAGCCGGGCTTGGCTGACGCATGCAACGCACGCAATGCATAATACAACAACAGCCCATGACGAGGTTCCCCAGCGGAAGATCCCTCCGTTGGAAGCTCAAGATAGGGAGAAGAGCTGCGACTTCTGCCAACATCTGCGGTAGCATCTCATATGAGGCTCGACTTGTTTGCACTGGTGTCAATGACCCCTGCCTACACGCCATATGCCATAGCCCGAGACACATTAAAGACCGGGTATCTTTCTGTGCGCACACATCTCGAACTGCAGATTGGAACCCTCCGGGAGCACATCACGAAAGTCCTGGAGGACATGCTGTGCGAGTGTATGTGTAGATGTATATACGCATGCACACACTGCGAAACATCGAACCTTGTACATCCTTTGCAGAAGTCCTGCAGGCAAATGGTACAGTGATTCCTTACAACTTCGCATTCTACCTGAAAACGGATGCGCACGTTTTCAAGGCAAGGGCGGATTGTTCTGAAGTCGGTATGGTGTGAGCTTCTCGTGGCTAAGGTGGACCCGAGGCCGCGGAGCTGGTGGCTCACAGAACTCGAAAGAGTGTGGGGTGGGTGCGATGCTCATGCACGAGACAACCTTGTCGGTTCTGGGCGAACACTGCCCTTTCGAGGGCAAGCATGCGGCACTTCCAGCACAATACCACGATCCTCCACCAGGGTCTGAACTTCGATGAGAGGTGTAGAGCTGAAGCTTCAACATGTGTTCGTCACGCGTGAAGCCAGTTCAGTCGATTCCTGATCGTAAGCTGCGCACCGGTCATGAATTTGAGGAGCTGCCCCAGCTTCGTCAAGCACACACACTTGTTTGCCGACCCGCTGTCATGTGGAACAAACTATCAGGACCGGTGAGCGCCGCACATGTTCCGTCTCAGGAGTTGCCCACAGAACGCCCCCTTCTGAGATTTGCGAAAGGATTGCTGCGACCGAGTCGATGTCCCAGATTTCCCTGTGACTGAGCTCGGAGCTCGGAACATGAGCCGAAGACTCCAACCATTCACAGATACTGGGATCTCTTTCTGTCATTGTCAGGTGTGGCATCGGAGTCTCCCCCACGCTCTGCCAAAATGCAGACAACATTGAGGCCTGCTCCCAAGTGTCAGAAACACGAAGGAGCTGCTTATAGTCGTGAGTAGTCATCTGGATCCCTGCAGGTCTTCTGCCTGGAGATCAACAGGCACGAGCAGAACTTGCTTTTGGGGCGGGCACGAAGTCTTGGGTGTAGGAGCACCGAGATATTATTGCTGTGTCTATCCAGGACCACCTCTTACAAGTGGCCTTGCGATTTCCGCATCATGAACTGGACGTCATGAACTGGACGGCATGAGTCCGCGAAGTTCAAAGGTATTGGTGTGTCCTGAAGAGCTGTTGTGCTATCCCGTCCCTCAGTCCTGAAGGGATTAATAAGGTCGGGTCTCAGCAGCTTGCAAGTTGTCGGATGGTGTCGTAGCAGAAGCGAACGACCTCCCATCAATGTACATAAACTCGCTCGCACATGGCTCCAACAAGTAAGCAGCCTGCCAGAATAGCAATGCTGAGTCACAGTTTGGCTGTGTTTCGTACACATCAGCGTCCCCGAAGTTTGCGGCTGCAAGTGTGACGATGATGCAAAAAGCTTCAGAGCAGAAGCCAGAACTGGCAAGTCCAACCTGTACGATCGGTACGCATGGTATGCATCAGATGCTCTTCACATTCGTCGAACCTTTCATCCCGGCCTGTGCATCATATCTAGTTGCGTGTTGACTTGCTTCAGCCATGGCCGGCGATACTGCGGCAGACAGCGGCTTGCTGTTGTATCGAGTGATGGAGTCATGGCTGTAGCGTTGATGTCACACGGGTTGCACGTTGAGGCGAGAGGCTGCCGGAAATCACGGACCAGGCACGCGCCAGAGCCAGCCGTTTGAGAACCGATAAAGGTCTCAGTGGTACGGTTTGGGTGGCTGTGATGTGGACAGGCAGTCGCAGCATGCAGTCACGCCGAGAGAAGCAAGCGTTCCGACTGCACGGTCTTGCCCCGTGATGTCCTGCACTGGGTTTTTCTGTTCAACTTCTGCTCTGCTTGTGGAAGTGGCACATACAATGCATCCTGTATTTTGATGCCCTCATACGCTTCATTCATCCAATTCATGCTCGGAAGTGTTTTGTAATGTGATTTACAAAGTTGCCATTGCGGAGACTCCTCCGGACAATGAAGGATCCCGAAGGTGGAACTTAACAGGAACGGTCCCGAAGAGGTGGCAGAGCGGCTCTTCCGCAGCCTCGAGCTTATGGAGGCGAGGGCAACATCGAGTCGTTTGTAGCAAGTCTACTCTTTGCGCTGTGGCACAGAATTGTCTTCCGAAGGCAGACTATCAGCGGACACTGGCTGCAGAGCCGACAGCACCACAGTCGCTGCTGGCCCAGCGACGGGATGCAGTACATCCGGATCTGCTTAGCGAATTTCTTGTTGAGTCCGAAAACCCGTATTTTTTTACTGTGTCTCCTATTTCCAACTTCAGGCTTCATCCATCGGGCATCCTTCGTGAGCAGTCTGATTCGGACCGGGACGGGATCAGCGGCCTGTGAGTGAACTGATCTCCGTGATGGCCTCGAGCAAAATCACTTTGAAAACAGCACCAAGCTGACGCCTGTACAAAGGTCCTTCAAGCTCAGAGGCAGTAGAACATGCAAAGAAACGTTCAGCACAAGAAGCCATTAGAAACATCTATGCGCACTCAGTATTTGCTGAGGCGTACACTGCAAGAGACCACGCTCCATACCTTGGAAGTCTGGCAGAGGGTGCAAACCACCACAACGCCGAGCACTGACGCGATCTGCAACTTCACGCAGAGGCAACGCCTACAAATGATGCGGAGAACTTCTGCTCCAGTCACCATGCATCACCATGCATGCTGTACAGTTGCAGGCATCCGCTTTCTTTTTTCTGCTCTGCAGTCGTTCGGACAATCAGAGTGCGGGAATGCCCTGCTTGCCCCGCCTTGAACACAAGAGTGTCTGCTCTTCCGTCAAGTTCATTCACTGCGAAAACCGACAATGCCTACCGACGGGCTGCAACCGAGCAAGACTCAACATCGTAGTCCTGTTTTGAACCGGGTCAACCGCACGACCTTTGCAAAAGTTCCCAAGGCTGTCGCAGATATCACTTTCAATCTGAAGCCTCTCTAGCGGAAACCAAGGCAGGCATCTCGCGGAAGCAATCACAGACAAAGGCCCATCTTTGTCACAGCAACCGGATCTGCATCCGCGAGCACCAGCCGTGCCCAGTTGATGTGTTTGAATCTATCGCCAAGCAATTTTATATCATCGACGTTTTTCCAAGTGGAATGTGGGCTTGTCAGCACAAGGTTGCATGCACAGAGCCACAGCCCAACTCTCCGTTATCAGGTGCCTGCGCTTGACTTTGATTGTTGTGTCAGCAATGTGCACATCATCAGCATGACCTCTAAGTCTCGGTTTGGGTTGTTGCACAGGCTGCGCATGGTTCCTACTGAAAGGATCCCTCGCTGCAGCATATTGACCCGCTCATAAGTTTCACTAAAAACCTCTGCGCCATCCAACAATGACCGCTCGAGGAGAAGAGTTCGGGGCCAAATTGGGAATTGCAATAAAAAAGGGACTCCTATATTTACCAGACAAACAGCGGAGCCGCTGGGTCTTCGGCCCCAAGCCCTAGCCCTAGCCCGAAACTCAGCCGAAACGCAAATAAAGCAATGAACATCCCCGTCAGCGGTCCACACGCAGCACGTGTTAAAGTTGCGCTTGCGGTTTTGCTTGACCTGTCATCATGGATCGCTGCTTTTCGGCCTACAGAAGGGCCCTCTTGAGCTTCCTTACTCTTTGCACTGCGGTGAGAAACATGTGCGCTTGATCGACTGACGCCTTTGTGCTGTGCTAGCGTTTAGTCAAGTTGGCACCGGAGCCTGCTTTCCTCCTGCGATGCCCAGGGTTCCGATATTCCAGATGGATGCTCAGGACGAGTCCGCCGACTCCCTTCCCGATCTGGAGAACCTTGAGTCAGCGTCGCAGATGATGGGACCAGGGACCTCTGAAGAAGCCAACCCGGCGAGTCCTTGGAGGTGTTCCTCTTGCGACGGAGGTGCACTGAACCAGGACCCAGCTGGCTTCTGGAGCTGCGTGGATTGCGGTTCGACTCTGTACTACCACGTGGACCAGCCTACGAGAAGGCGCGCGGCACACGGCCGCGGGATGTGGCATTACCTTCCTGGAGACGCTCACCTCCCAGAGCCTTCTTGGACTGCTCCTCAGTTTGGTGGTGCGGGGCCCCCTCCCGCACATCCCGGCTTCTTTGCTACCAATACGAATGGGCCAGTGGCCGGCAGCCGCCGGCGAAGGCGACGAAGACCGAGAGCGAACCCACCGGATGATGACGCCACCGAGGCCTCTGAGCAGCCCGAGTCCCAGAACCAGACCTACGACCCTACTGTGTCGGTCTCCTCGACCCCTTCGGTGGCCTCGCGGCGAGCAGTTCGTCATGACCCGTGGTCGCCGCTACTCCGTGGACCTCGTCAGCCTCCTGGCCTACCCCAAGCACCACGAGCCCCTCGCGAAGATGACCGGCAGCTACCGCAAGGTGACGATCATGAAGAAGAACATCCAGCTCACTTGTTGGGTTTCGACGGTGCAGCCGGCACCCCGGGTCGCAAGGACACTAAGGGCGGCAAGTCCAGCTCGTCGTCGTCAAGCTGGAACAGCAGGATGGGACCCGAGAAGAAAGTCCGTTGGCGAGGCGGGGCGCCTACTCCCCCGTCCTGGAAATATGATCCCAGCGACCTTCGGGCTTACAGCAAGTGGGCAAGGAAGGTTCAGATTTGGCAAGTCCAGATCGCGAATTACATGACCAAGCGCGAGGCGGCGCTCTTCTTGTACACCTCGTTGACCGGAGAAGCGGAATCTGAACTAGAGCGCGTGCCTTTGGAAAAGATCAATTGTGATTCCGGTATCCAATTCATCTTGGACTCTCTTAAGGAGCCTATGGCCCAGAAGACTGTATATCAGAAGCGCAAATTCCATGCCGACTTCGAGGGCATCAACAGATACCCTGGCGAAGGCCTCAGGACATATGCGAACAGATATCGTCGCATTGAGCGGTCACTGGAGGCGCTCGGAGTGCAGATCACCGGCATGTATGACGACGAGAGCCGCGGCAACAGGTTGTTGGAGAGAGCTCGCCTCAGCCCCTCGGATCAGAGACTGGTTCTGGTGGGGTCGAGGTACTCACTTTCCTTCGAAGACGTCATGGAGTCGATGACGATGCAATACCCGGATTTCCGGGCAGCTCCTCCGGTCATGGGCCGAGACGGCCAGGTGAGTCGGGCGAGGGCTTCGAGACCGAGGCCGGCCACCAGGACACCGAGCACGCCTTCGAGCCGATCCCCGAGGATGAGGCCGAAGACGGCGAAGCAGCCGAGCAGGACGAACCACAGGAAGCAGACGATGATGCAGCAGAGCTCGAGGACCTGGCCCAGGTCCTCACGGTGACAGCCCGCCGCCTGGCGAGCACCCGTCTTGGACGTAAGTACAGTGGATCCAAGGTCCCCGCAGCAGAGCTAAAAAAACGAACCACATGTGCAGCCTGCGGTGAGATCGGTCACTGGAAGGGTGACGCAGAGTGTCGAGTGACAGGCGGCAAGGGCAATGCAACACACAAGCCAGCCACCGCGAAAGGTGCCCCAGACTGCAACATCATCGGCACCAGCTGGCAAGACGGGCGGCAAGGGCAACAAAGGACAACCCCATCAGGCCTTCATGGTAACCCACAGTGACCTCGGCAGCTACGAAGTGTATTCGGAAGAGTATGGCCAGAGCTTTGCAGACCCCAGCTACGATGTGAGAGTAGTCTTTGCAGCGCAGATGATTCATGATGTGAGTTCGGAGTTTGCGGGCTACATGGTACTAGACACGGCGTGCCAGCGAACCTGTTGTGGCAGGACCTGGGCACAGAGGCACTTCAACTACCTCAGCGGCATCCCCCTCGAACCGGCCAAGGCTCAGATCCATGACAAGTTCCAGTTCGGGAAGGGTGCACCAGTAGAAGCCGATTGCAGAGCCTATGTTCCGGTCAGCTTCAGCGACCACCCACCGTTGCTGATTGGCACAGGCGTCTTGGGTGCAGATGTGCCACTACTCGCGAGCAACGTGCTCCTCAAGGCGCTCGGCATGATTCTTGATTTGCCGGACATGAAGGTCACCTTTAAAACCCTAGGATGCAGTGCCCCCGTTTATGTGATCAACGGCCACCTTTCAGTACGCATGGATTGTTTTGCACAACATGAGCATGACGGTTTTGCCCAGCTGTTGTCTCGCACTTCATGGCATGATGCGCCGGCCGAAGCAATCTTTGGCCAGACTTCGAGTGCAACCACAGGTGAGTCACGACATGCTCGTGACACCCCCGACATGGCTCGTTCGTTGGCGCCGACTTGTGACGTGCTTGCGCAACTTCAGGGCACACCTCTACTTGACCATGGTTCGTGCAGTGAGGCTGGGCATCTGCGAGCACCAATGGCTGCTGGAAGCTACGCCCCCGAGGCTGGATCCCAACTTCCAGGTGCGGCAGGACACGTGCCGGCACCCAGATGTGCAGCGCTACGGGAACGCCACGGGCCGGTACTCCCGATGCAAGGTGTGCAACAAAAGATGGGTGTGGGACGCAGACCGCGAGCGATGGGTGCACAAACCATACGTCGCATCTTCACGCTCATCGGCGCTGCCATTGCCCTCTTCGGACAACACCCTGGAGAACCAAGCGCCGGCTCCCCCACCGTCGACTTCATTGCGGGCGGCCCGAGCCAAGACGAGTACGGCGCGACCCAGGCCGAGCACAGCGACTTCATCAACGGCATTCGCGCCGACTTCCGGAAACGGCGCAACAACGAGCCCGAGATCGACCATTGGGCACTCCTTCGCGGACCAATGCCCAACGACCACTCGGAGGAGATCAGCTCGGAGGAACTCGACTTGGACAATGTCGACGGCTGATCGGCGACCTCGAGCGGGCGGCGAAAACCTACCAGAAGGAGATCGACGTGTACCAGGCCCTGCCGACGACCTCCTCGAGACCACCGCCCAACGTCGACATCCTGGAGATCTTCACTTCGGAGGCGAAAGCATCAGCCAATGCATACCGATACGGATTGAACGCGTGCCAGCCAATTGACCTCCAATACGGCTGGGACCTATGACAACAAGGACAACAACGAACCGTGGACAACCTCGTGGCACGGCTCCGACCATGGGCAATCTTCATCGACTACCCGAGCCACCTCTACAGCGTGCACAACGAGAACTTGAACTACCACGACAAGCCAGGCGAACTCCAACGACTACGTGAAGGAGACCGCCAACTAAGGTGTTTCACGGCGGCACTTTGCCGCAAACAGCTCGAAGCAGGCAGGCTGTTCTTCATTGGGAATCCAAGACAGAGCAGACTTTGGAGCCAACCCGAGATGGCTTCGCTCCTGGGCCTGCCAGGTGTGACAACTACAACGGCCCACATGGGCGCTTACGGCGCCGAGAAC